GATTTTATTGTGACTCAGAAATTTGACCATTTGTTATTATATGATGGCAGAAAATGTATTAGAAAAGAAAAAACAGATTTAATGAGTGAAATTGTTGAGTTGCCAGACCAGTATCCAAGTGCTCCATCACGAAAAACTCGTGAAATTGGCAAAAATGAAGCAAACGTTAAAAGTATTATTGTGTATCAATTACTTTAATTACAGTTTCTATACCGTTATTATTATTAATATTTTCATGATAAAAAATAATTTCATCCTTTGTTTAATAGCTTTATTAGGTACAAATACTTCTATTAATAACATTATAAAAAAGTATAATACAAATTATTATACTAAACAATAAAGTCTCCACAGGGCATTTTCATCCTTTATGGTAAATAGTACTGTTCGTTTTATTATATTTTTATTATTCGAATATATAAAATCAAGTATAATTTTATAAATAAATTAGCAGTTTTTTATTATATGTATTTTAAATCTTTGTTTTTTCACTTAAAAAGAAACTTGGACAAATTGACTGAGTTGATTTTTAAAGCTAAAATATTGAGAGTAACAATAGAAAAAGGTGCCTTGATTGTAAACAACAATTAAAAAAAATTTTAATAATATAAAGTAAAAGTTTTAACAAAAAAAATTCAAAAACAAACAACTTGAATTTCATTAAAAAAGAAACAAATCACAAACACAAAAACAACAAAATTAACAAATTTTAACATTGAATTGTTGTTTAGCAAAAAAAACATGCGCTTGGCAAACTCAAACATCAAAATGTAGTTCATCAGTAGGGTAAATATTATTTATTAGAAATAGTTCTAACTGTATGGACATCAATTTGCAAGCTGAAAGAGTTTATTTATATTGTTAAAAAGGTATACACAATCAAAAGCAAAATTATACAAGAAAATAATTCAATAAACTTGGTTTATTTCAGCATTAGCCATTATTTTTGGTAAATAACAATATCAAAGACAAGTGGATACTGTAGTGTGTGATTTGTTCATTTTGTTGTGTGTGATGGTATTGAGACCACTAAGTATTTATTTATAAGGTAAACAAAGATAATCAGAGAATAAAGGAAAGATGAAAAAATAGTGTAAAACGATCGATATCAAGCAAATCGATTATAATGACTTTTTCAAATTCCTTTTTAGATGAATTAAAGTACAAACGAAGACTTATTAAATCACTAAAACTAAAAATTAAAACCGAGTTTTTCAAAAAAGACAGAATTTGAAATTATATTTTATTCTGTATTTAAATGCTTTTATTCTATTTTTGGTTTACCATTTTACTATGAATATACTATTAATTAATTATATTGTTAAAATATCTATAGAAATAAAACATTTTTATTAATATAATTGTTGTAACGAATGAATTAAGAGCATTCTAAAACTAAAATCCCATAAGGACGAATGTCTCGAGGATCTTCTATATACCAATAATTAGAAGGACCACCATTGTCACTTGCCAGTTTAATGGAAGAAGTCTTCACTCGATTCTGAAAGACTATTTTGTACTTTCGAGAATTACTATCAGTCTTTTTTGTTGAATATATAGCAGCTGCTTGTACATCTGGACTGCAATAGACACCCCTACCATAGAGATTTCTTGTACCGACTTTAAATCCATTTTTACTGATTGGATCTGCAAATTTGGGGTCGGTGCCATGATAAGAGACTGCCCATTCACCTGGGGAATTTGATGAACCAAGCCAGGTGTCATTACCATTATCAAACTTTCCAATTACATTCAGTGCATATCGCATATATCCACATGGACGTTTGTACACCATTCCACCTCTTTTATAAGTTCGACCGGCTTTGGTGTCATTGATATTACGAAAGTCATAATCATAACCAGGTGATAATAAATTGTTATCGATTGCAAATTGACTGATACCACCACCTCTGAGTCTCAAAACAAGATGGAGTTTGCTACATTCGGTTAGGTTGTAATCAGAAAGTTTGTTTTCACCTTCAAGAGATCTCCCAAGAAAAACAATCCTCATTTGATCTGTTGATATCCCTGTTTTGGACTCAATCAACTCTTTTAAAATGTTGACAGACCACTCTGGATTAACTGACAATGTTATTTCTTTTCCAGTTAACATTCTTACAATGATATGCGTTGTGGGATCTGATGGACATTTAAAAACTTTTGGTGTACCACTTGTCTTCGTTGGTGTGTCTTCTCCTGTATCAAGTGACAACACCGAATAATTCTCTATGTCCATTTTAGGGACATCTGGAAATTGACTTGCAAGACCAACAACATGTGAACCGGTCAATGCACTGAGTGCACCAAAGAGCATTTCTTGTCGTGTATTTCTACTCATCTTTCGATTAATTGTTATTTAGATTGTTTAAATAGTGTAAAACAATTAAAAGTTAACAATTAAAAGTCATTAAAGTTATCGAGATTTTAGTTGATAGAAAGACTGAATAAATTTTTAAATACAATTAAGTTTTTGAATTTTGCCCAGCAAATGAACTTTAGCTTATTTATTTTTATTTTACAGAAAATGTATTTGTTGTTTTTTAAAAAACACTGGCTTTCAAATAATCAAACAAAACAACTTATTTTAGAAAAATTACAAAATCCCATGTGTTTCGACTCTATTAATACTTGTATTGCGTTTTTTTACATAAATTATTTTATGACTAGTGACGTGGTTTTGGCATAGTTATGAGTTAAATAGCACTTTTCTCGATACAATGAAGTTAAATTTTTTAATTGCCATTATAATAATAATATAAGATTAGTAATATTATTAATAATACTTAACATAGTTTTACATATAGTATTAATAATAATTTAATATACTAATATATTATTATAATAATTAATGGTATAGTTATAGTAATAGTCATATTATTGTAATGTAATTATTGTATTAAAACGAATAACAACCCACATCTCATGATAGCGCCATCAGCTCCATTACTACAATTACTAATAATAGATCATAAAACGTGTTATTAGTAATTGTCTAATAGTTTCCAATGAAAGAAACACCTTTTAACTTAGAGTGTCTAAAAATGCTATTTTTTATAAGAATATTCGTTGCAAAAAATGTGTTGATCATGTCTATATGTGTATATTCAAATATGATATTTTCAATTGTTTTTCAAAAACAATCTGCAGAAGTTTGATTCGTCACAGAAGGTAGAATCGGCAGACTGTAAACAGCTTTTATTGCTCAAATAAGACGTATATTATCAATATAAAAACGAATCATAACAAATTTATTAATAAAAAATTATTATAATAAATAATAATTAAATTAAAAACTTGAAAAACATTGACAAGATGAGTAAATTAGAACGAGTGTATATGATGAACGTATCTTTAAACATTAACACAATGGATTCTCTCAAAACTTTTGAACGAGTTAACAAAAAAAGTTTTGAGTGTATGCAGAGTCTATACATCAACCCTTTTGTCAACTTAGAAATTGAAACTTTTGCTCTTTTTAAAGAGCCACGTGAGGTTTTATATTCTTCGATTTTCGAATTTATCATAAAAGCGTTTCCAAAGATTAAAACCCTTCAATGTTATGATTACATGTTGGGTAACGACAACAAACTGATCCGAAATGTTAAGAATATACGACTTGTGAAAGCACCACACAACAAAAGGAATGATTATAACCACATTCATTTGCCATATTTCCACCCACAAATAGTCACAAGTGCTCTTTCAAAAATAGAAAATTGCTATGTTGGCACCAAAAACAACAATTAGTTGCCTACTGACAATTACACCAACCTCAAAAGTATTCACATGAATGGGTGGATTCGCAAGCCAAACATTATAGAAAGGATTTTCGAACTGAAAAACGTCGCAAAAATAACAATTTGGAATTGTACACACCCAACCTTCTTGTCATCAATGGAAGAGCAAATAAATCATCGTCGTATGAAAAAATTAGCAACTTTTAAAGTTTCTATTTTCATTGAAAAAACAGCAATACGAGAAATACTTAAAAAGGAATTTAATGTTGCAATTTTGATGCTTCGGCAACAAAATGTTGAAGTTTTTGATTGCGAGGAGAATGTAGTGGACCACTGCAGTGTTCTTGATAATTTGAGATATGTTGGGGATGTAGCTGTGACTAATATAAAATGTATGGATTCCGTTTCTTTTCAAAGTGACAACGAAATCATAATAGAAGACCAATTTGGAAATGATGGATATGAAAGTGGAATGAAATAATAAAAGAAAACGTTAATTAACACAAGAGAACATGTTGAACAAGATAAATTATTAATAAAAGACCAAAATACTTCAATTCAAAATGATCTTATTAAACAAGAGGAAAAGAACAATACGCAAATTGTGAATGTTAATCATGAAAATGATTAAAATGAAAATGAGAGCAATTCAGTACAAACTGAAGGTCCATATGAACACTTGGAATTATTGAAAAAGGTGTACAACGCAAAATGTATCAAGTGATGAATTTCAAAATACAATTGTTTGCGCACCAATTTTAATAACATGTTTTATAGTGTTATTGGACGATGTTGTGACCGATGTCGCGTTTCTCACTCACCAAATCGCAAAATTGACTCTTTTTAACATCTCAGACATAAAAATATCAAATATATTTGCAATGAGAATAAATATTGTGAAGTGCACAAATCTCAATATTTTAATAAGTGCTGTTGACACATTATGTTGCCATTATTCTTCACATATTAAAATTGACATATTTGGATATATTTACAAGATTAAACTGAAAACATCAAACAACATTAACATTGAAAATCACACAAAGTATCACATTATGCGTTTCACAATTTTTGAAATAAATAACATTTTCTTTCTAAATTGTATTATTAATGATATGAAAAATCTGAGTTGCACAAATTTTGTGATGTCAAATTGTGAATTTGGAAATTTCGACTTTTTGCGTTGCGATAAAGTTTATATGTATACTACAAACAGACAAATTGACACTTTCAAAATGAAAACTTCTTTTGGGTACCTCACTAATCCTGATATTTACACGTCTTTAGAAAGGGGTTTTGAAAATATCAAAATCACATTTGGTCCAGTTTAAAAACATTCCTAAAAACAATTTAAATAAGTGCTTGCTTGAGTTTGACAATAATCAAAATTATGACAATGAAGATGAACTCAATGTTATGAATGGAGTAACTTTTACCAATGGAAAACTCACGATGGTGACTTTTGAAAATGCCAATATAATTCCGTCTTTTGAAAATTTTGATGTAGAAATTTGTAACAACAGCGAAATTAATAAAATCAACGAAATATATATTGAGAAGGCAAAGCGCGTTTTTATAACTTCAGACTGTTGTGTCAGAGTCGTTTGTGGAGAAGTTGAATCTGTTGTTGGTGAATGTATATATATTGTATACTCAAAAGAAAAGTACTCAAAACTTATAGATAAATAAAGAAAAGTGTGAGACCTCAAAATTTTGTAACAAGGTGGAGGTATTTGGTCATGTCAATTTGTGTGCTTTTTATATAAAATATCCATATAAAGAATACAATATCTATAATTTTGAATTTTATGTCAATGAAAATGTTGTGATAAATGTGATGAAAGCGGCATATATAACAAATTTATCCGACTTGCCTGCAAAACGCATTTATATTGAAAGAAGTGTTAAGTTTTGTGGTGACAAATTGATACTCAACGACAAGACCGAATTTGTTGATTTAAAAAATATTGATTTCAAGAAAATAGTCGGTACAAAGTCTTTAAAAATAAATAGAAATTACGAAGAAAATAAATATAAGAAAATTGTATTTGAAGCGCAAAAGAAAAAGACGCGCGTGAGTTGGGCAAAGTGCAAGAAAATTGTTTGTAATAAAAATGTCGAAAAAATTGTAGTTAATATGTGTGACAATTTGGAGGAAATAATTGTTGGGGAAAATGTCTCAAAGATACACGTGCAATCGTGCAAGACATTGAAACGACTCATTGGAAAAATTAAAGGCGTGCAGATAGTCGTGAAAAACTGTCCATTGCTCGCACTTAACAACCGAAGTTATCAAAAGAAAAAAGTTCTGTTTTTATTAATTTTTGAAAATAATCATTTGTTTTTATTGTTTTTTTGAATACAATTAATAATTCTAAAATGTTAAAACAAATTAAAAGTCTGGTCTAATTAAATTCATAGTTTATTTAAAGTAACAGAAATTGTGTTGAGAATATTAAAATCATTAAACCCAAAAGTGTCATTAAAAGTGTTAATAAAGTGTTTAATATAAAGTTGATAAAAAAAGAAAATGTGAAGTTTCCAATTATTTCAGGATAAAAACACCAAAAATTGAAAAATTAGTACCCATTTGTTTGATAAATAAAAATGCATTTGCCGGGACTCGAACCCGGATCTCCCCCTTGGAAGGGTGGAATTCTGCTTTTAGACCACAAATGCTTTTTGAAAACAACTTATTATATTGCTGCGTATCTCTATTTGGTACTAAAGTGTTAAAAAGTCTTCATCCTATTTTCTAAATCTATTTGTAAATAGAAAGTGACATGATCTGA